TGCAGGTGCTGGCCGTCCTGGACCCGGCCAAGTATCCCCTGCCTGAGCCCTACAACTACAAGGAGGCCGCCGCCTTCTTCGCGGAGCCCGAGGTCACGCCGTCCGACCAGCTGCCGCCGCTCAAGTGGGCGGCGCCCGACGTGGAGGGCCTCGTCGCGTTCCTCGTCGGTGCGCGCCCCGCGTGCACGCGCACACGTACACGCGCTCGCGAGACAGAAGAGCTGCCGTGTCGGAGGGCGCGCCGCGATGTGGGGCGTGGCAGCTGTGTAGGCTTTGCGGGCCTCTGGCTAGCGCACGTGCTGGCGCGGCCTCTCGGTCCCACCGGCCTCTGTCAGCGAGTGCAGCCGCGCACGCTGGTACTGTGATTGTCGAAACGCCATCCCAACACCTGAGAATCGACCGCGAACGAGATGCTTCTCACCCATCCAAACGCGACACCCATCCAAACGTGAGCCAAAGCCTTCAAGTCCCCTCCCCTGCCCCGCCCGGCCCCGGCCCGCCCGGCTCCCAGGCGAGAAGAACTTTGCGGAGGACCGCGTGCGCAAGGCGGTGGAGCGCATCAACGCGGCCAAGAGCAAGGCCAGCCAGGGCCGCCTGGAGTCGTTCTTCGGGCCCGTCACGGTCGTGCCCAACGCAGCCAAGGTGCTAGGGGCGGCGGGCGGCGCCAGGGAAAGCGGCCGCAGGCCGGGGCTGGGCGCCGGCGGCGGGTGGGGCTGCCTTGAAGGGATGCTGGGCATGAGTTGGGTGCGCTCACGCGTGATGAAAGCCGCGCCGTGGGGCATGGTGGCTGCAGTTGTCGCTGTCAGCTTTCCCATGGGCCGCGCCCTGACACCAACCCGCGATGGCGCACTGCGACAATCCCGCAGGCGGCCAAGGAGGCGGCGGCGAGGGATGCCGCCAAGGCGGCCAAGAAGAAGGGGGCTGCAGGGGCCAAGGCGGGCGTCAAGGGTGGCGTCAAGAAGGCGCCCATCGGCAAAGGGAAGGGCGCGGCGCAGAAATGAGGGCGACGACGGCTGCGTGCCGTGTGGCTCCTGGTCGGCCATCCACAGCAGCGAGATTGCCCCGCCTTGGCTCGTTGCCGAGCCTGCTGGCGGCCGGCGGCACCTGTAGCGGCAAGGCGACTGCGAGCCGGGCCGCTTCCTGCAAAACGGGCTGCTGTTGCCGTGGCTGGCGTGGGCCAACACGGGAGTTGAGAGTTTTCTGTACACCTTGCAGGCCGCTGCTCCCCTGCACCTTCCTCATCCCTTCGCAGCTTCGTCACCACCGCTGTTTTGCATCCGCTATCTGGAATAATAGACTCTGTAAATCCAAATCAAATGCCTCGGATATCAGGGGGCTGGCCAAGTAGACAGGTGTGCATGCCAGTGTGTTTCGCATTCAGCAGGGAGGCGGGGCGAAATAGTTTCAGCTGGCACATGGCATGCTGCCTGCATTAAATTGAGGGATGTGAAGGCGTATGGATGGGAGCTTTGCTCCATCAATGGTTAGCACGCACAAAAATCCGTATTCTGCTTCATTTGGCGCATGTGCTCAAGTTCTGGACGCGGGCTCGCCTCGCACAGCTTGGTGACTGTGCATCTGCCCAGGGGTGTGGGCCAGTGCAGGGCGACGACAGGAGGGAGGGCAGAGGGGCGCAATCTCGCACCAATGTAGCAATTGTAGCCTGACATCATACCTTCGCATGGAGGCCTGCAGCGCGACAAGCTCAGCTTGTGCGCCACTCTTCGCTCATTCGTTGTCTGCTTGTTGTCTGCGCTACTGCCCATGGGGCAATTGCACGGTGGTTGATGCTTTTGTCTCGCCTATCTTCAATAGCCGTTTTACGGCCTGTAGGTTTGAGCTACATAACAATCCTTTTCACTTGAGTCGTCGCGCCTCGCTTTTGGTTCGATCCGCCTGATCCTGCGCTGGTCGTCTCCCTGGCATGCTCGCTCTGGGAGGCGACACGCACCTATTGCGCACAGATCTCCTATTTGATCTCCTATGATCACCCCTTGCTCTCGTGGAGCGCTCGCGCGGTTGCTCTAGCTCACACACAAAAGGTGCGTGATCTGACTCAAGCAGCACACACCACTCGGGCAAACTTGATAGATCGATTACTTCACTAATCTTTGGTTGCCAGGTTCAGTCAGGCACCAGACCGTTTGAGCTGCCATCGCAGATCGGTTGACCACTCCAAAAACGCTGTGATTGCAGGCGCCAACGAGTCAGTGATTCGATCATAGGTGGATTATGTGTGACTTTCATGGCCACTCAGGCCCGTGCGACTTTGAACCTGAAAAGCTCATGGCGTTGGCGGCGGCGGAAGTGAGCGCCCTGGCGGTGCTGGGTGGGGCTGACCACAGCTTACCAGTCGGCACGCCGAGCGTGGTGCGCCGCAGTGTACGCCACGCGCCCACTGCAGCGATGGCGGCGACACTCCAGAGCGCAGGCGGCGACTTGGCAGCCTGGGGCAGCGCGGAGCCATCGGCCATTGCGCCGGCCGAGCATGGCGCGCGCTGTTCATCCGCGGACGCGGCCGACGGACAGCACCCGCCCCAGGGCCTGCTGCTCTGGGAGGCAGCCCAGATGCCCGTCAAAGAGCCGAGCAGCTTGCAGCAGCGGGCCCTGCGCCGCACGGCGCCTGACAACCTCATTGACTGCCAGCCGGGCGCGTGTTTCGAGGGCCCGCCAGCCGCGCACGACGACCTCGCCGCAGCGCCGACGGGCGAGGCCGACGCGCGGATGGCGAGCGGCGCGGCGGACGAGTCGGAGGGGGATGCAGAGCGGCAGCAGGCGCCGGACCCATTGATGGGCGACGCTCTGGCGCACGATGTGGCGACTCAGCTGCTGTACAGGCGAGCCGGGGTGGGGAGGTGGGGCATGTCTGATTGATTGGCAAAGCTTGTAAACCTTGAGAAGAGCAGCCCCATTCATCCGACGCCGCCAAAGATTGTCCACAGTCCACGGTCCGACTATAGTGGTATACTACCACAGAACGCACGACCCTGCCAAAGCGTCGCGCGCCAACGTACCCCACCCCACAACCCCACAGGCAGCTCGGCGACCGCAGGCAGCGCCACAAGCGGTCCACCCACAGCGCAGCGCCCGCTCACCAGCACGCCCACGCGTCGCGCCTGCACCGCGCGACCGCCGCCAGCGAGGGCGGCGGCGCCGAGCGCCGCGCCGGCCGCAGCGGCGGCGCTGCGCAGCCGGCGGCCAGCGGGCGCGAGTCGCGGCGGCCGCAGCAGCAGCAGCGGCAGCGGCAGCAGCGGCGGAAAGAGGATTATGAGGAGGAGGAGGAAGAAGTGACCAACCACGAGATGGGCTCAGAGCCTCCCAGCGTGAACAGCTCGCCGCTCCTGCGCCCCCTCGCGGCGCCCGCGCGCCCCGGCCGCAAGGCACGGCTTGGGTGCCCGGCGGCGGCGCATGTGCAGCAGCAGCAGCAGGACGGGCAGCCCAGCAAGCAGGCGCAGTGGCCGGGCGGCAGCCAGGGCACGGCCGACAGCGAGACGGATACTGGCGGCCGCGGGCGGCGGGTGCGGAAGCGGCCCGTGTGGCAGAGCAGCGCAGAGTTCGAGATGGACGAGAGCGGCGCGGCAGAGGGCAAGGCCGTGGCGCCAAGCCACCCACACTCGGCGCAGCCGGCTAGGAGCGGCGGCGCCGGGCACGAGCGAACGCCGGACCGGTCCCAGCGTCCCGGTGGCGGCGGCAGCGCCGCGACTAGCGGCTCCCCGCGCGCGCGGCAGCGCGCGCCGCAAGCCAAGGCGCCTGCGAGCGTCGACGCTGCAGGCATGCGCGGCGGCGCGTGGTCCCCAGGCCCCGCCCTGCCAGGCGGCGGCGCGCGCAGCCCGCTGCGCATCTGCATCGGCCCCAGGCCGCCGCCGGCGCCGAGCCCTTCGGGCGGCGCGTCGTCGCCGGCAAGCGACGTGGTGGTGGGCGCGGTCAGCACGGTGCAGCGCACGACGGCGGTCCGCCGATGCCTCAAGCCCGATCTCTCCGCCGGCCCCGGTCCCCGCGCCGCCCCGCTGGCGGGGGCCTCCGCTCCTTCCCGCAGCTGGATCGGTTGCAGCGGCGGCAGCGGCGCAGTCACGCAGAGCGTGCCCAGGGGGCCGTCGCCGCCCTGTGGCGCAAAGGAAGACGAAGGGACAGATCTGACAGAGGACGAGTACGAGGCGGCGACAACGCTTCCATTCATGAAGGTCGGCGGCGGCGGCGGCGGTGGCCTGCTCGCCGCCGCCGCAGCCGCTGCCGCGCACGCAGCACCCCCTGCAGATGCCGCTGGTGCCGCGCCGCGCGTGCGTAGGGCATCGCCGGGGCCGCAGGCCAGCCACAGCGCGCGTTCGGCCGAAGTGCCGGCGCTGGATGCAGATCAGCGAGAGCTCATCAGCAGGCTCCTAAAGCACAGCTTGACAGGGGCCGTGGGCCGCGAGCGCTCCGCCGAGATCACCAGCGCCGCCGCAAACGCGGCAGCCGCCGTGGCGGCGGCAGCGGCCGCGGCCGCGGTGGCAACTGCGCCCGGCGGCGCCGTGGCGGGGCGGGGTGTGGCGGCGCCAGGCGCCGCCGGTCGGGCAGAAGCCGAGGCTGCAGCGGCGCTGCTGCACGGCCGCAGCCGCGGCCGTGGCTGCGAGGTGGGTGCTGGCGCGGCGGCCTTGGTCGCGGGCCTCGACAGCTATGTGCAGCAGGCTGGATCCCAGGCAGCGGCCGAAGCCGAGCTGGCAGCCAACATGGCGGCCTTGTCAGCGCGGCTCGCAGACAGACCCAGCAGCGCGAGCGTCATCGCGGCCGCCGCCGCCGCCGTGGCCGCGGCCGCGGCGGGCGCGGGCACGGGCGGGGCCGCCGCAGTGAGCGCGCCGGGATCGCCCGTGTGCAGCTCCCTCGGCGCCGAGCCGCCTGCCGCGGCCTGCGGCGCGGCGGCCGTCCCCGCCGCGCCCTCGGGCGGGCAATCTGCAGGCGTGGGCCCGCCGGCACACCGCATATCGAGCCCGTTTGCGGCGTATGCGTCGACTCCCCTGGGCGACAGCGGCGGCGGCAGCGAGGAGGAGGACGAGGCCGAGGACATGGACTGCATGTCAGACCTGGAGCTGCCAGAGCAGGCTGTCGCTGCAGGCGCGCTCGCAGCACTGGGAGGCACGAGCTTCGCGCCCAAGCGCAGCCCCCTCGGGAAGCAAGCGCAGCAGGGGACGACGCCAGGCGACGACGGCTGCTACCATGCCGCGCCGTCGTCAGCCGCCAAGCGGCAGCGGCGGCAGGCGGGCGGCGGCGGGGGCGGCGGGGCGTCCGTGGCGTTCCTGGGCTATGGCGCGTTCGAGCAGCCGGGCGCTGGGGGCCTGGATGGGTGGATGGCCGCCCTGCCAGACGCCAGGGCCTCCGCCGACGTGGCCGAACCAGCGGCCGCAGGCCGGCAATGCAATGCGTGACGCACCCAGCCGCCAGAGACGGTGTGACAGGAGAGGTCGAGCGCGCGAACGCAGGATGCGCCCACTCGCTTCGGGTGGACGCGCGGGTGCGGCAGGGGTGGCTCCTCGCCGGATTGAGAGGGGAGCCGCCGCCTCGCCGGCCACGCTTCATAGACTTTCTTGGGCTCAACGCCCGCTCACGCTACCATCTTTCATTGCCGCCTAGTGTTGAGAGGATTCTCTAATGCCGAACGCTTTCCACTGACCCCGGCGGGCACGGCGCCGCAAGCGCACTGGTGTGGCGCCGGAACAGTCCCGCGGCGCGTGAGCCGCTGCGCTTGTGTGCCTGTTTGGCATGGTGTCGTTCTTGGGGTCAATTGCGCCGGAACCATCTCGGTATCTGCTCTGCCTCACGGCGGCGCGGCCATAGCCACCGTGCACGACGCGCCAACGCCTGCAGCCAGCACACAGCCGCCACCACACACGGCAGCGCCGCCGCCCGCGCCAGCTCGCATGGGCAGGCGCGGGCCTGCTCTGTGCGCAGTAGCAACCCGTCCCCGCTGCGTGCACGCGGGCAGGGGCAGCTGCGGCACGGCGGTGTGGGGCTTGCGGCAAGCAAAGCCAAGATGGGGCAGCGTGTGTGTGCGAGAGTTCCCCGGGGGGGATGGTGACTCGCTGCCTTGCTCACAGCCTTGCCGCACTTGCCACATCGACAGCATCACTGTATCAGTAGCCCGGCCCCCATTCCAGTTTTCACCGTACGCCACACCAGGATGCACCGGGGCGGGGACGCCCGCTGCGAAAGGCGGGCGCTGAGCGCCCCCTCCCGCCATCCCCCTTTGCGGCCATCCGCCGCGCGGCGCACACCCGTCGCCGGCGGCGGCGCGGTGCCAACCAGCCATGTGGCGCCGCCGCCCGGCCGACACGCGCCTCGTCCATCTAATCACGCACGTGCCTGTAGCGCTTTCCGGCCGCGAAGTCCCCGACAACGGTTGGGCTTTTTTTTCTTGCGGCTTCTTGCGTCTGTCGCTTTGTGGTCCAAGGCCTTTGACTTTGGCGCCGCCACGGCGCTGCGCCCGCAATCGCATCTGTCAATTCGGGCGCATTGCAAATGGTCTTTTGTTGTAACTCCATCGACTCCACTGCTTCCACCCCTGTCAGCCGAGCACCCGGCACATAGCAACCATGAGGAAACTGATGCAGCAGCAGCCCTTATCGTACAATCAACCGCACCTGTGCTGTTCCTCAGTCATCCTGCCCTTTCTCGTAACACCTTATGCAGAATACAATCCTTTTGAAGTTCCGTGTATTCTCTCGCAAGAGACGCTTGTGATCACTCCGACGGCACTTTCTTGATACAAAATTATCTTTGCTCAGCTGTTTATTTATCGTCTGATTTCAAGCTTTGCTTTCATGATCCTTACGGCTGCCTTCGGCTGACGCTGCAGCAGCACGCCCAGCGCGCTGCGCTGGCGGCGCGGCGGCATGGCAGGTGAAGTCGCCGCCGTCAGCCAGTACCCGGAGCCGCCCCACTACTACCGGCTGTACCGGGACGGCGCGCAGGCGGGGCCGCCCCCGCCGCCGCCAGTGGTGGAAGAGTTCACCCTCTTTGGGGCGCCATTCAACCTGGTGCGCCGCGTCAACGCTGCCGTTGCACCGCTGAATCTGTGGCACGCTCGCCGCGATGCGCCCTCAGGCTTTGCAGCCAGGCCTTGGCGCCTGAGGCGGGCTCCTCGCCGCTGCCCCGCAGAGAGAGCCGCTCGCGCCGCCGCTGGAGGTGGGGGCGCTCTTCAGGCCGCGCCCGGACGGCACCATAGGTGCGCCGCCCGCGCAGCTCATGTGGCTGCCAACCCCCTCGTCATTCGCGCGTGCGTGACCCGGAACCTATGCGTGCAAGCCGGTGGTTTTGAGAACTTCAGGTTGAAGGCACAGTCAACCACATACCTCAAGGCGCGCGCGCTCGCGCACCCCCGCGCCCGCCCAGACGCCAAGCAGGAGCTGCTGCAGCTGAACCGCCTACTGCTCTGCCTCTTCCTAGAGCTGCTGTCGGTGCTGGTGGAGCAGCCCACCGCTTACGCAGAGACGCTCACGCGCGTCATCGGGGCGCTGCAGAACATGCAGCACTTGGCCAACCTGCTGCGGCCGCAGCAGGTGGGCTCAGAAACGGCGCGTCCGCAAACAGCTGGTCGCGATCGGGCGTGCTCTTTGGGTCTCTTGGGAGGCAACGGCACGCGCTGCCCGATGCAGGGAAGAGGTGCATAGCAGGACAGGCTTGAGGGCTGCGGCCGGAGCGGCCCCAGGTCCTGCCTCATGCATGGTGTGTACGCTCTCGTCCGATGCCCCACGACCTCCGATAACGCGCGCTTTGTGTTGGTGCGGGCGGTGCCTGGCTGCAGGCGCGGCACACGCTGGAGCATATGCTCAAGACCCAGATCGCCAGAAAGCGGGAGGCGCTCGCCGGCCTGCGGACCGAGGTAGCGCGGATACGGGAGCAGCTTGGCGCCACCGTCGCGCGGTTGGCGGCGGCGGGCGACGACGCGGCGGAGTCCGCGCCGCGGCCCGGGGCCGCGGGTGCGACGGTGGAGGGCGGCGAGGGCCGTGGCGCGTCGGCGATGGACACCTCATAGCCTTCAGTGGCTCCTTATTGCTCACTGCAGTCGCTCGCGCGCCTTCCTGCGCAGCTGCTTGCTCTCATGTCGTGCCAACATGCGTCAGGTAATTCACTTGATCAGCTGTATCACTGGCTGCACACTGCGGAGGTTTTAGGTCGGCACAAGCACTGGCAGCAGCTGGACTGAAGCTGCTGCTGCTGACCAGCTGCCGTGGATATGTCGCGTTTGACTGACACGCTCGTCAGAAGCCGATGTCAGCTTCCGACAACACAAGTTGTCAGCAACAACACGGTGAACAGTAAGCGGGCACGCGATCACAAGTCCACGAAGGCGGGATCTCACGCAGTCCTTTTTGTTGAGCCTAGCATTCATCGTGCAGCAAAACGTGTCTGGGTGACATGCCCTTCGTTACGGGGCCCGACCTGGGACCACTCGTGCAAAATCATCAGCGGCGCAGCGGCGATGCGGGCGCACAGTGGCCGCCGCAGCAGCCATGCGCCATGCAATTCAGGCTTTCGCAGCCGCGGAAGAGGGCCCTGCCATTTGCGTCGCTCGTGACAATCTCCCGGGGCGCCGCTGCAAAGCAGGTGCGCATGTGAGCCGTTGCTCTTTGCAACCGGGTTGTCGCATCCGCAGGCCGCACGACATGTTTGAGGGGGTGTCATGTCGTGGCTTGAAACTGCCCGCCCATGACACGCTTTTGTGCAACACTGTTGTCAGCCATAGTTGCCACCATAGTCCTGGCCTAAGCAGCAGCCGTCCTCTTGGCTGGATCCTTGCCGCATGTTCATCACACCCATGCGTGTGTTCTCACTCATGCACGCCAACGAGAGGGCACGCCCCACCCATCGCACCGCCGCGTCTTAGAACGGCCTGCTGCTGCTGCCAGTGACGACCAGCAGAGGTGTGGGGGGCGCCCGTGGCGCTGGCTGTCCGTATACAACGCTTGGGGGCCGCTGCAGCGGCTGGCCTTTGTTTGCCTGTTTGCGGCTGAGCTCGCCCCGTGTTGCTAACATGGCAATCGGCAGTGGCAAGCAACCACCAACCCCTGCTGCCGCATGGACCCTCACGACCCGCCATATGTTGTGGGGACGCCCCGGCATCTGATATGAACGCGACGGCGCCCCGCAGGCGGCCAGCGGCGGCACTATGCGTGGGATGGGACCCGCATCAAGGCGGTCAACACTGACCTGCTCGGGGACGGTTACACGCACGCAGGTGCGTCGCGGGCGGCCCGCGGGCGGCCCTGGCGCGGCGCAGGGTGTTGCGCGAGGGGGGAGGGGCGGGCGTATGCCCGCAGCCAGAGGAGGCGCCCCCCGGCGCGGCCGCCGCGGAGCCCAAAAGCAGGAGCTGGCCGCGTGCCAGCCGCCTGACTCGGCGCCCTGGGGAGCCGAAGCTGGAGGGCTTGAGCTTGCGCGTGGCCGTCGCCTCATGCGCACCCACCCCCTCACTGTACCTTGTGAACCCACCGACGACGCTCCCGACGACGCTGAGGCCCAACGCTAACTCACAACCCCATGACACGCGCAGCGCGGCTGCTGGACCACCTGTCCAACGCGCGCCGCGCGGTGGCTGCATCGTTTCTGCCGGACAGCGGTGACGTCACCGGCGACTACTGGCAGTGGCTCAAGTGGCGCCTGGCGCAGGTGCTCCAGGGGGCAGCTCGGCCACGCCTCCTGGGCAGAGGGAAAGCTGGGGGTGGTGGTTGCAAGCAGCGCTGACTGGATTAGTTGGGCAAACGGGGTCCTGCCTGTGGGAATCCGGGGCAGGCTGAGCGGCCGCGTCACGACGGCGCTGCCTTGAACAGTTGAGCAAGCTGGGCGCGTCCTCGGGCGCCCCCTCTTGTTGACCCCGCGCTGGCTGCTGTCCTCAGAGCGCCGCGCCCCGCGCCCCCGCCCCTGCGGCCGCCCGCAGCGCTTCTGCAGCGCGGTGGTCCTGAACTTTGCGACGCAGTCGCTGCTGACCGCCGTCGGCGTGGGGGCGCAGAAGGCCCTGGCCGCCAGCGCTGCAATCGTGGGTACCATCCTTTGCATGCACGCGTTTGCAGGGTCCCCTATCCGCAGAGCTGCCAGCGCGTGTGCTGTTTCACCGCCTTGCATCGAGAGGCGCCGTGCTGGGCTGCATCAGAAAGCCTCACGCCTCCGGTCATCACATCTGATATGCAGACCAGGCGCACACCTGCAGCTCGT